AATTTTCTCTCATAGGCTTAGGTCTAATATAGCGAATAAACGAGAGCACAACATTTCAAAACTTCCAAACCTAGAAACATCAGAAACTGATCTCCCACCCCAGTCAAACACATTCCTTTTCTCATTTCTATAAGGTGGAAAAACTGTCACCAGCACTTTTTTCCGCCCCCGACCTTAGTCCTAGCCACAACCTCCAGAAAGAGACAAATACACTGGCACTGAAGAATCAGATTTGATTCAATATTTGTCTCAGTACGTGTGGATCACGACACTAGAGACTCTCTTGCCAGAAGCAAAGGACTATAGCTATTGTCTCTCTACTGAAACAACTTGCATTAAATAGCGTGAAAAAGTTTCTCTGAAGCTGGACATCAAAACATTCTTTTGAAACTTTTTTTGGCAAGTACGCATGTTTTGAAGCGTTAGAAATGCTACATAAAAATTGGCCAAGACATCTGAATGACTGGACTGCAGAGCTGTGGAGATGCCCTGTAAGGGCGAACTTCAAGCATGTCTGAAACTCGATGAAATTTTCGTCTTGTTGGAATTAAACACAAAATTCTCCCAACATCAATAAAATCAAGATTTCTTCTGATAAAGAACACTGGTAGACGAACAAGTGAGCACAACTGGCAATCAATGCTTATAGAGGTAAGGCATAATTTTTAATTTCCATGTCAGAACAGTGAGGTTCTGTAATTGTCCTCAGCTGGAACAGTAAGAGCGAAAGATGTAATGCTTCTAAAAGGGAGCTAAATGTGTTTAGGAAAGACTCGTATGACACAGCTGTGATGGTGATGGTGATGGGCTGTCTTGATGATCCCAGAGGTCCCCGACTGTCGTACAATACCTGCACTGTAGTAATTCAGATAACACATTGGAACTTAAAACAGGAATTTCACAAGCATAACCGCCACAGACTGGCAGAAACATTTTACTGATTACACAAAAATAAAACGGGATGGTAATGTTTACTTCCTCCCTAGAGCTCCCTTTTTCCCAAAGAACAGCCCCAGTTTTCAGGTGCACCACGAAGAGCGGCATTGCAGCACACCCCATGATTTAAAGAATTGCTGCCGGCCTTCAGCACTCCGATTCTGTCACGCAGATCAACTGTGTCTCCACTATGAAGTTTGCACTACGACAGTGGCTATTTACTGACCGACTGGTGACCATTTTACCCTCCCAATTTATCCACAATTTCTTAGACAAGCTGAAATGGTAAACACACAGAACTAGTGCCATTAGATCACCGGAATCAATTTGAAAAGAGAAAAACAATCTGTCCTTGGACATTTGCTTCTCTACACTAAAGGCATCTCTTCATATTAAACTTCAAAGCTCAGATGCAAGAGAAACCAAACAGTTTAGAGCCTGTTTAAAGTCTACCACAGCACTCAGTAAAGTTCTGGACAAGAAAAAGTAGGGCTCTTCGAATGTTCCATCCCTCTCCCTCCACTCTGCAAAAAAGGATGACAACACATCTTTTGATGTTTTGAATTCTTCATGGCTTTTTATAGCAACATAACACTAGAGCAGCTTATTTAAATCTTCAATTTATCATAAAACCCAAAAGAGTTTGGTATAAGAAATTTCAATAAAAGCTTTAACTTTTCACTGGCAATGTCAAACTCCAAATTAACAAGAAGATAACTGTAAAGTTAAATCTTAATCGCCTACCTTTAAGTCACAGCAACAATTAATACAAGAATTATTTTTCTTAAGAGAAAATTACAGCAAAATATCTGGTTATTGTAACGAGAGGAGGCTGCAGCTGAAAGCAAGGAGATAACAGAGGGTGTTCAGTCCCATTACTGAATGGCTCAAGACCCAGGAGCAAAAGCACATACTAAGAACAGAACTAACTGTAAAAAAAGGGCATGAAAGCACGTAAGAAGTTTTTCTCCTAATTACGTAGCGGGGACCAATACAGTAGAACTTCTCTTACCTTTCTCAGAATAACATCACTGTTAAAACACTTTCAAGAAAAAGACAAAGGATCTAGATGACAGGAACAGAGTAATCTAAGACTAGTCACACACTGTGTTTATTTAACATTTGGAGTAAAAGCAAGTCTAGACCACAATCAGTAGTAAAACTGCCACTGCTTTTAATGGATTAATGACTAGCAGTCCATTTATTTCATAAGTCCACTTGTATCTATGTTTAAGCATATTGGCATACTTATGCAAATTAATACAAAGGTCAAGAAGGAAAAGAAAGCTAGAAAAAGGGTTAGCATAGAGCACTATATATTTGTCAAAACATAGCTGTTAGTACACACATGACATCACATTTTAAGTTAATGCAGAAATATCGTTATTTGTGTCCTGGTCTACCAATTATAATTTTCACTTAACAAAAGAAATTTTGATTACGAGATAAGGTTTGTATGAGTTAAAGGAAGGATAAATACAAATACAGTAACAGAAATAACTGCATCAGAGAGGGTTAAAAGGTAGCAGGCAGCAAAGCGTAATCAAAGTTGACTCTTGAGATGATAACACCTATTACAGAATTCCATGAATGCCAGAAAACATACCCTTTTCTACTGTTAAGTTTATGAATATAATATTCGTAACAATCATTAGTAAAATGAATTGTTCGAAGGGTTGCAAGAATAAACTGTTCTGATTCCTTTCTGTCAGTCAATTATTGACACGCTGCTGGATCTGTGGCCTACTCTGAAAGATAAATACAATGTGATTTGAGAAGGGAACAGCCACTGGGAGACATAAATGCACCTGGGTCAGAACCAACACCAGTACCTTACAAAGGACTTTTCAGACAACAAAACTACCATGGAACTCCATGAGCAAAGTTTCCAGCAGAAGAAAAGCCGCGATTTTCACCAGACTTTGTAGATACTGATTTCTATAAATCTAACCAATTTTATAATGCCACTTAAGATATTGTTTATGGCTCCTGATTGAGGGAAAAAAAAAAGGAAATGTTCGTAATCTGAAGTATGTAAATGATCCCACTACTACAATGGTAAATCCTTAAATACCTGTTTAAGTGCCAGAAATTAAAGCAAAAATAGCATATAAAAAGCTTTTCTGACCTTTAGGAGCTTGAAACTAGGTCACATTTTCTTGTAAAAATTCGTTTTCCACACACCTCTAATAAAAACCCAATTCTTTCTTTCCATGTCCCCAAACTGTCTTCCCATTTGAGCTCAAGACACCCCATACATGTACTATGCAATAAATGGACTTATCTCGCATTACTCAGGGCTTTTTTCCAGCACACTATTCAGTAATCCACTTCTCCTACGACTTATGCCCATATTCCAAACTGTAAAGCCACAGTAAGCAGATCTTAAATATTCTTTTAAGGTAAACTGCTAGAAAATTGCTTTTCTCTCTCTCAAAATACATAAATGCGTATAGAACAAAGAGTAGGTAGATCAAACTTTGGATGTCAAAAAACCCCACCTTCACTATTGACCTTTTAAAATAGGTAAAGGTAAGAGAAACGCCTCATCTGGAAACTAAAAATGGCATGAATAATTTCTATCCTCTTTTCAGATTTTGCTATTATTCCCCTGGAATATAGTAACCTTGTTGGCTTTGCTTATATAAGCAGTAACAGATCACCTAGCTGGAATTTCTCATTCACACAAGCGATTTTACGCTAGACTGATCTTCCTGCACTCCTTTTTATATTCAAGCTTGGACACACACTCTCCCGTGCCGGAACACAGAAGGAAGGTCTCGCTGCTACGCAGCCACGTGAGCGTTTTACACGCACCTAAGACGGAGGTGACGCCAAACACTGAAGACCCACACAAATCGCCGACAACCAGCTCTTTCGCTTGCGTACACCAGGGAACGGGCACCTCAGTCCACTGCCAGGCGTCCGTCGCCTGCATCCACCCAGGGCCGACAGCCAGGGACGCACAGCCAGAGGGACAGCACCACCAAACTGCTCCCAATGGCCACCTGCCATTTTTTTCCCCCCCAGTTACCAAAGGCACATGTCCCTGTCGTCTGTCTTTACAACCAGTGCTCGCCCTGGGATGAGGCAGAAAACACTTCTTTAACCATCATCCTACCGTCAGCTTCTTCCTTTGTGGGCTCAGTCCCAGTTTGTAACTGACTCTCACTCAACTTTAAAGGAAATTATTCCAAAAGAGTCACAGTCCTCATGCATCTGTTGTCTCCTGGTACACACACTGAGTTTCTGTGACATTTAGTAGGAACACCATGTAGGTACCCGAGGTTTACTTGGCGTTGCATTAGAACAGCTACAGATAGTGCAAACAAAACAAACACTGATTTCACCGAATCCAATACTTTAGTCTCGTGACCCTTTAAATTAAGCGGCCAAAAGACAGGAAAAGAACGAAGGACCTGGACTGAACAGGAAAAGTACCAAAAAACAAAAAAACAAGCAAAAAGAGAAAAAAAGAAGAGAGAAAGCTGTAGCTTATCTAATAGCCTATCATTATATCATGTTCTCCAGTTTCTTTGGGTTCAAGCCTTCATGATCCTGATTTTCACTTATTTCTAGTTTTGTAATAGAGAAATTTTTACAAGTTTTAAAATTAAAAATACATCCTCTTTCAGAGCATGCTCCGACAATAGAAACCAATGTGTATGGCAAATAAAACCTGTATGCAAGCAGTAAGACCTCAAAAGTGCCTTTTGCACCTTTTTTTTTTTAATTGGATCACCGACAGTGTCAGTATCGACATCACATTTGATGTTTTCACAAGGTCAAGGACCAAAGACGCAAGCCAAAGACCGGTGTTGCATATGTAATTCAACTCATCATATGAACAATACCCCCAAAACAATCTCCAAGGAAGCATTCATGAAAGCTTTTCTATACAGCAAGATTTTATCACAAATTATTAAACACCATTAAAAACGGTCTGCTGTGATGTATGGAAAATCTCAGCCAAAGGGCAAAAATTCACAATAAGTGTACTTTTGCTATGTTTAGGAAAATGAGCAAATATTAAACATCATGCAAAAGGAAAAGACTTTATTGATTTCAATACTGTATTTAATTTGAAAGTTCCAAGCAGTGAAGATCAGAAAACCGAACTTAATTTTGCTCTCCTAAATACATCTATATTCTGCGTGCAAGCCACTAATTCTTAAGAGAAACCAGAAATGTCTTTTATCTAGTTACTGCTGACAGCCTTTTCAGCTGCCAGTCCTTGTTTGGGTTTCGAGTAATCCCAAGGTCTCCTGTTCTCTGTATAGCCGTACAGCTTCCGCAGCGCCACGCGGGCAGCTTCTTCCTCCGCAGCAAGCAGCGTTTCACCAGGACCTTCAGCTATAATCTTCTTATCACTTGGGAGAAAAAAAACCCCAAAATTAAAAACATTTTCTTCATGAAATCCTGAGCACTACTGGGTATCATGAATAAGGGCTGCTAGATTACTTTTTTTTTCCCCTCCAATGTCTGTGAACACCGAAGGTAATTTCTTATAAACACACAACTGTAAACATTTCCGTTGGTCTTTCCTGCAAAGATAAGTGATTGCACATTCACCAATGGAAACTCAAATCAGAAAAGTGTCTATTTCCTGGAAGAACACTGCTCTGTTCATTGCGACTCCTAACGTATCACCGATTCTTTACAGTGTTCCGTTTGTTAGCCCTGTTCAAAATACGCAAATTCGTTACTCTGGTTAGCTTAAACAAAGAAGTGAAATGCTTCTGTCTTCTCTCCTCCCTTGGTAAGAAAGCATTTTAAAACTTCTTCAGAAGGATTCAGAGAGAAGTCCTCTATGTTACGAAGCATGTGCTCAGCTCTGTTTAGTCAATGTCTGTGGGCACTGAATAGGAACAGTTTGTGAAGAGACACCAGGGATTCCAGAAGAAAAACCATCAAAGCTCCTTTCTTTTATATAAGATAATAAATCTCAGAAGGCGTATAAACCAAATCATGACAAATCAAAGCAAGTTAAGGCGACCTTCCCACGTGTTTATCTGCAGCTCATTTACCAAAGCAACAATGATGTGGGTTTTGGTGGAAAAAGGTCCTGTCCTGCTCCAGAGGAGCAATGTTACCCTAGGGGAAGAGACCAGGACAGGCACTGAGCACGCCAGGGACGACTGGCACTTCCAAAGTCTTCTCTGGAGACACACGCTCCTCTTGCCCAGTTTACAGTGCCCGTGATTTGAAAACTAAAAAGCTTCTCTGGAATAGAAGTCAAGTGTCTCTTCAACCCCACCTCCCTCGATGCCGAGTCTCTTTACCTTCCCTGGGCCCTGCTTATAGCTGTGGTCCCTCCAAAGCCATTCAGTTACGCTGTTTGCAAGGTGCCTACGTCAGGTCACCCAGAACTCACACCTGGACTCTTTCATGCACCCGATTCAGACTCTGAAGCCCTTTAGTCAGAGACAGTCTTGTTACGCATCATTACAGCGAGCCATGGCCAGCCCTCAGATGGCCGATTCTATATGGAAGTCACTGTCAGGTTTCTCCTCTGTGGTAACTTGACCAAAGAGCACAAGCAGAAAAGCAAAAGACCATCTTCCCTCCTCCCCTCTCCCGCAGCTTAAATCCATCTCACTGTAAATTAATATTGTACTAACCAGTACAGTCCAACAAAGTACAGTGGCAGAACCGTGCTGACTCCCAGCTGCCTGGTAATTCTTGGTTCTGGAGAAGAGATATTCCTCTTGGTCAGCTCTTCCACTAGTAAGCCCATAGGATTTATAACTTCCCAGATCTCAAACAGGTCTTTTCCAATCAGCTGGGGAATAAAAAAATCCTAAAGAAGAAAATTTAGAAGTTACAATTAATGAGAAAGGTAATGAAGGCTCTAACTTCTGATGTCTCCTAATAAAGACACGATATGAAGAGGCATTAACTCAGCTGACAATAAACTGATGAAACGAACAATGAAGCCGCCTCAGTGCTCCACGGCAGCCGAGCACAGCTAAGCAGCACTGCGACGCTCGGCAGCTCCGGCTCTGCCTTAGCCGCTGCCAGGACGCGGCCCCGGGCAAAGCCAACC